GAATGGAGGTGATTTGCTTCCTGTTTTCAAGCCTTCCTGTGTTCACCCTCTCCCCTCTGCGCTTGGAGTAGAAAGAACACCTTTCTCCCCTCCACTGCAAGAGCCCTAGCAGGACCTCTGACCATATTAGCTTCTGATAACTCAGAACTAGTTGGGCAGCGTCGAGGCAGGACATGAGGACGCAGGCTGATTTCTGGCAGGACAAAAAAAGTGAAAGCAAGGAGGTAGTGGGTCTGGGTTTTAGTCACCTCAGAAACTTTCCAGGACACCTGAAATACTTATAAAAGGAAAATAATCTTTACTAATGCAAAGTCTAATCCATAACTTCCTGCAAATCTGCTTGTGATTCCTTAGAATAAAATTAATGACAACTGACAATGGTGATACCACAGTATTGGGAACTACTGTTTCACATCACATAACATTAAGGGTTTTTTTTTTTTTTTCCAACATAAAACTATCCAAGCTCTAGGCCTCCATGCATCTGCAGATCCCCTCAGCATGACAGCTGGCTTTCTGCATGGTTATTGCTAAACTTTCCAGATGAAAAACTAAACCCAGATTGCTCATTTGTTATATCTATAATTTCTTCTTTTACTAGAAATGAAACTTAAAGTAATATAACAGATTTAAAATAAAGAGGTGAGCTATAAGAAACCAGAGAGGTAAACAAAATAAGGAATGGTAACATTAACATCAGATAAGGGGATATTGGTTAGATATAAGTTAAAAGCATTAAACAGCATAAAAAGGAACTTAAAAGAAGACAAGGGATAAGTCTTTTTTTTTTATGTTGTTAATCCCCATACATTACATCATTAGTTTTTGATGCAGTGTTCCATGATTCACTGTTTGCATATAACACCCAGTGCTCCACGCAGAACGTGCCCTCTTTAATACCCATCACCAGGCTAACCCATCCTCCTACCCCCCCTCCCCTCTAGAACCCTCAGTTTGTTTTTCAGAGTCCATCGTCTCTCATGGTTCGTCTCCCCCTCCGATTTGCTCCCCTTCATTCTTCCCCTCCTGCTATCTTCTTTTTTTTTCTTAACATATATTGCATTATTTGTTTCAGAGGTACAGATCTGTGATTCAACAGTCTTGCACAATTCACAGTGCTCACCATAGCACATACCCTCCCCAATGTCTATCACCCAGCCACCCCATCCCTCCCACCCCCCGCCACTCCAGCAACCCTCAGTTTGTTTCCTGAGATTAAGAATTCCTCATATCAGTGAGGTCATATGATACATGAAAGAAGACAAGGAATAGTCTTGTGTGAACCACTGACACAGCAGTTAAATATATAAAGGAAATCTTTTAGAAATTCAAGAAAAACTTGTTTAAAAATGGTGGAAATTTTAATCACACCTCTTCTAGAATTAGACTGATCTAGGAAATATATCAGAGAATTGGAACTCTAAAATCAATAAACATGAATACTAAAACCAGTAAACCTGATGGAACAGAGGCATAGAACTTTTTAATTCCAAGAAGAAAATATACATATTTTAATACCCACGGAATGTGTAATCATTGATTAGGTACTTGCCAAAGAGGAAATGCTTAGTTAAAACATATGGAATCTAATTCTCTGATCACAATAAAACTGGAAAATAATACAAACATGATCACCATCATGCAGTGCACTTGACCTTGCAGAGTGATGTATGTCAATACATCTAAACTCTCAATAAAACTGAGAAAAGAAAATGATTGAAAAACTTAACTATTTAAAAAAAAATGATATCCAATCCTGAATAACTCTTGGATCACATGAAAAAAAAATGACAAAATTACAACATATGTAAAAAGCAATGAAAAAGAGAACACTTTATACCAAAAACTATGCAACATAAATACAAGTTGTATTCAGAGGCAAATTACTGCCTTAAAAAGTCTTCATCAAAAATGAAAGATTAAAAATAAAAGCACTTAAAAAAATAAAGGCTCTTAGGTTAATATTAAGAAATTGGAAAAGAACACAAGAGAGTAGGAAGAGGGGAAAACAGAAAACAGTAAGAGCAGAAAAACGCCAAAGCCGATTCTCTGAAGCACTCAACAAAAGAGAAAAATCCTCTGTGAGTCTGATTCAAGAAAAAAGAAAACAAAAATATGTAAGGTTAGGAATGAGGAAGTGAACAACTCACGTGCAGAACAGATTTTAAGAATCACAGTAGAATTTCATACACAATACAGTGGACAACTAATTTGGAAAACCTATTGAAAATGGAAGACTTTCAAGCAAAATATAAATTACAGTTGATCCCCCACAAAAGAGAGGAGTTGACTTTTTAAATGATCATAGAGGAGTGTGGACACATCATTTGAAATCCAACATGTAATACTGCATCACATAACAAGAGTTTCACAATTGATTTCTCTCCTTGGCTTTAAAAGAGCAAATAATTCTGAAGTTGCTTAAATTATTTCAGACCATTACCATATAGACCAAAGTAAAATATGAAATGATCCCTACAGTTATTTTAAGGGATCCAGTATAATTTTAAATACCAACATGTGATTAACACAGTACCAAAAAAGCTCCCCTATATATCAGTCTGACTAGTAAGACACACATTCTAAATAAAATACCAATAAATGGCACCCAAGAGTGTATCAAAATATACTCTGACCAAAGAGAATTACTTGGAGATCCCATCAGTATTTTAGTAGGCACTGTATCAAAACCGTTTCTTAATTTATGATAAACTGATATATTTAAAACACTGAATTTCCCATACTGGAACATGGAATCTCCATTTGCCTGTCTTTAATGTCTTTTCATAATTCTTCATATTTCTCATAAAAAGTCTTTTGTGCAGTGTCTTCATATTGGGTTCCATTTTTCCCATTTTATAAGTGGTATATAAGAAAAACTTAAGTGTCTGTATGTAATTTATTTAGCCACTTTGCTGAACCATTTAATTAGTTCTAATAATTTGTAATTTCATTCTTTTCCATTTTCTAGAAATAAAATCACATCATCTAAAAATAGTATCTTCACTTCTTTTCTAACATTTTTGTCCTTTTCTTGTTTTGGCTAGAAAAGCTAGCACCATGTTGAATATTAGTAGTGAAGGTAAATATTCCATTTCTTTCTGAGTTTAGTGAAATGTTTCTACTGTTTTATCATTAAGTATGAAATTCACTATCAGTTTAAGTGCTTTTATCAAGTTGCTATATGTCTATTCCCATTTTAAGTGTTTTCGATGAAAGGAGGTATTGAATATTTTCAAAAAACACTTTATCAATTGAGACGATCATATAGATTTAAACCTCATACAGATTTAAGCTACAATACAGTGATTTATAGAAACAGGCTTTCTAATGTTAAATCATTTCCGGGATAAAACCTTTTTTGTTCCAGATGGAGGGCACGACTGAATTTGCTAATATCTTATTTTAGGGCTTTGTATTTATGGGGGTTTGGTAGTTTTTTCTTCTTGTGCTACCTTTGTCAGGTTTTGGCATTACTGGGATGCAAACATAAAATGATCTGAACTCTCCTTGATGGCAGCACTCCAGAAATAAGGGACAGCATGAGCAGAGACACTAGGATGAAAAATAACAGGGTATGCTCAGAGAATAGGATTTAAGACTTCTTAAAATGGACTAAGTAACACAAAGTAGGTTTGACTCAAGTTGCTAGTTAATCTTCAAAGCACAACTCCTCTGGCAAAACACTTTGATTTACTGCTCATTTTACATACAGAATAGAATCCAAACTCTTTAGCTTATATTCAAGATCCCTCCTGCTTTACTTCACATTTCAACCTGTGTTTTCTTGTCTGTGATGTTTGTTTGCCTAGAATGCTGGGTATGAGCTATGATGGCACATCCAAATCCTACCCACCTATCAAGGGAATAGCTCAAATGTCCACGAAAACTTCTTGGGTCCAACTGAACTCCGTTTGAATTCCTACGTACTACAGCAAAAAATTCTCAGCTTTTGGCTTGCCAACTTCTTAAGCTCTTTGACAGCTATATGAGGTTGGCCAGTGTCACCCCTCCCCCCGCCCCAATTCATGTCCTTCCCAGAACCTTAGAATGCGACTTGATCTGGAAACTGTCATTGCAAATGTAATTACTTAAGATCAGGTTATACTGGAGTAGGGTGGTCCTTTGTCCCGGAGGACTTCGTCCTTTTAAAGAGAGATAGAGAGACACAGAGAAAACACCCTATTGGAGTTAAGAGATCCGAGTGATGCAGCTACAAGCCAAACAACTCCTAGGATGGCTGGACACCACCGGAAACTAGGAAAGGCAAGGAAGCCTTTTTTTACCTAGAGTTTCAGGGGAAGCATGATCCTGCTGACATTTTCATTTCCGACTTCTTGGTTCCAGAACTTTAAGAGAATAAACACGTTGTTTTAAGCCACCCAACTTGGGATACTTCGTTACGACAGCCCTTGGAAACTAAAACAAGGGCAATTTTAATTTGTAATTTCTCTTCCTAACCCCAACAGGGCTATGTCCCTAGTCCAGTTGAGAACTATGGAGATAACTCAAGCACTTTCATGAGCGGACAACAGCAATAGTCAGGAATTACCAGACGCTCATGAGCTCCTGCTCTGTAAACCACGAACAGCTAATGCTCACTAAGCGGTAACCATTATGACTGCAAGGTATGCGGCTACGCAGATAAACGGAAGGCAGAAACTAAGTAAAATACCGGGCAGCTGGCGGGGGGAAGGACCTCCATCTCCCGAAGGACGCTCAGGAGGGAGTTCTTGAGGAGACGGGAGTCTCCAAGCCGCTCTCCCAGGCCCCGCTGAACAGCTCAGCCCTCTCCCCACTCCACCCCCCGCCCCCCGGGAACCCAGCAACAGCGACCTCAGGCCAGGAGTCGCTCCTAGCCACCCCCGCCGCCACTGACTCGCATCCGCGCGCTGCCGCGACGGCGCGTCCCGCTGTGATATGCTGTTGCGTGGGGGCGGGACTTCCTCCCCACGCCCGGAAACCGGAAAGGGCTCTTCCACCGGAAGGAGAGAGGAGGAGTCGCCGCGATCAGACGCGGGAGGGCTGGTCTAGGCTGTGGCGTGAAGTGAGGCTACTGTCTGGCCACCGGCGGGGCGGGCGACGGCAGCGTCCTAGTAGGCAGGCTGGCTGGTGTGTCGGGTTTCCGGGAGTATGGCGGGGAACCGGCGTAGAGGTGAGAGGTCGACGTATCTGTCGCGGGCTCCGCATCACCAGCGAGCTGGGTCTTGTTCCTAACTCGTGCTCAGCTTTCTCGTCTAAAAAAACCCAGTTCGCTGGTTCACGGAGCTGTGGTGGGGATATATGTGGAAGGGAGAAATACACGCCCAGAGTAAGGTTTAAGGAAAAATCATGCTGTAGGTGAATTTCACATAAGTGGTGGCCTGTGTCGCTTAAGGGATGTGACGCGAGGGCCTGTACGGAACCAGACGGTTTGAATCGGTGACTCCTGCTTGAGGCAGCAGCACCTGTTGCATTAATTTGAAAACATAAACGCACGGCCGGTCGTTTTTAAGCTTCCTCAATCCGCCGGGAACGTCATTTGGTGTCGGAGGAGGAACTGGGTCATCGCCCCTTGGTTCAGTTTAAATTGAAGCATAGAGGAGGCAGGCTGAAAGTCACCTAGCTCATTAGTGACAGAGCCAGGCCTAGGAGCGAGATTTCTTCATTTCCAGCCTAGCCTCCTGTCCTCCACATCTTAACTTTTTTGGGGGGTTGCTAAGCCGTCTTTTTCAGGGAGTGAGGACGGTGGGGATGCCCGTTTAGGTGCAGTATGAATCCAACAAAGGCAAAGTCAGTATGTGTCAGGAGTTAGAACTGTGTCATTTATTTACGTTCTGTTTTTTAAAAGATTTATTTATTTATTTTAGAGGGTGCAGAGGGAGAGAGAAAAATCTCAAGCGGACTTCCCATGGAGCCAGACAAGGGGCTCGATCTCATTCATGGCTTGAGCCGAAATCAAGAGTCAGACGCTCAACCGACTCAGCCACCCAGGCACTCCCATTTATTTACATTTTAGATGCTGTGTAGACGGAGAGGAGTCCGACATGTCCCTTCTGTCACTTCCTATTCAGCATTGTATGTGTAGTAACAAAAGGAAGATGGAACTTGAGGACCTGTGACATACCTTTGCACAGAGAGGCCTGAGTTTGATGGATATGTGCTCACCCTGCAAGACTTGCAGCTAACTATTGTCAGAGTTCTCACTGTGAACGCTTGCTGTCACAGCCTGTGGAAATGTTTACCTAGAACGCTATCTGAATCAAACCAGCCACAATGGACTTGTAAGTTCGCCACAAGTCCAGGTGAGATGCTGTAGGGTACCCTGCAGTCAAACCTCCGCTGTCTTAGGTAACACTGCATTTGGTGCTCATGCTGTTTAAATGTATTGTGCATTGTCTCTGTCATCGCGCTCATGTTTGTAAATGGAAATGTCTTGTAAGAAAGTGCATATAAGCCTTAGAGGTCTACCACACAACTTGTACATTAGCAAGTATTGAAAAACGTAGGCGAACTCTTACTACTGAGAAACTCATTCAGCTAGATTTTCATTGTGGTGAAGCAATGAATGCTCTATATATTAAGAACTTTCAAACTTTTTGGCCTCAGGACCCTCCTATAAAATTATTGAGGATTCCAAAGAGCTTTTGTTTATGTGGGATTATACATAAAATCGGTATTTTTAGTGTTAGAGGTTAAAACTGAGAAATGTTCTAAACACAAGAATATACAAGCACACGCTGTTGTCAGTGATGAATGTCTGGTTTAACTCTGTTCTGTACGTTCATGGAATAAGAGTGAAAGGGACAAGTAATGTCTCAGTGTTATTATGAAAGTAGTTTTGACCTGACTAACCCTCTGAAAGGGTCAGGGGCCCCCGCAAGAGCCACACCCTGAGAACAACTGCTCTGTGCAAATGTTCCAAAGAAACTTGAGAAGATAAAGACATGATTGCTGTTGCAAGTGATGGTGACATGAGCAGAAGTATTACCTTAAAAATGCAGTAACGAGCACAGTCTTTTATTTCCAGGACACGTATAATTCCAGGCACAAGGAACACATCTTCCATTTTGTTTTCCTTTCCTCCTTTTGATTTGTATAGCGCTTCAGACAGTGGTTCAGACTAACTCCTAGAGAGTCCAGGCTAAGGCGAGCAGACCAGCTGTTGAGTGGATCTGGACACGGACAGGCTGTAGGCCGTTTCTGTTCCCCTCACTCCCCTGGCCATTTCACCCTTGCTCACCTTCTCCACCAGCCACCACAGCAGGTCACAGTCTGCATCCCCCTTCTCTCACTTCCAGAACTCGAGACTTTTCAGTGGATTGGTAACGGCACAGAAACGTACCCACTACTGAGTTCATAATGATTACATAAGTAGGTAATTGGTGTTTAAAATACTTTACAGAAATCCTTGGTAGACAGTTATGTGTGGTTATTTTGGGGAGATTGGCTTGAGATTCTTTGAAGGGCTGGGAACAAAGATTTTTATTTATTTATTTTTGGAGAGAGAGAGAGAGAGAGCGAGCCCAGGGGGAGAGGGAGAAGCAGACTCCTCACTGAGCAGGGGGCCCGACATGGGTCTCGATCCCACAACCTGGAAATCATGACCTGAGCCCTTAACCGACTGAGCCACCCAGGTGCCCCCAGAGTTTTCCAATTTAAAATAATGAAACCTAGGATCTGAAAATTCCATCACTTTTTAGGAAAGGATGAGATTTCAAGAATAAGAGATGCCTCCATATATGTAGGATTTTCACCCTATGTCTGAAATGTAAGTTTGGCTACAATTTTGGAGGAATGAGGAAGTCTCTCCCATAAAATGATTTTTAAAAGACACTTGACATTTGAGGAGGTATCACCTGTGGTCTTTATATTGCCCTGGGGTTGTTGTTAACTTTACAGCATGTCATTTCTCCATGAAAGTCTTAGATTCTCAGACCAGCAGAGAGTCGTGGTGTGGTGTGCTATCAGATCGGGCTCTGTCAGGGCCTTCACTTCCACTCATCAGCCTCCAAACATACAAACCGAATTGATGTTTCAGAGCTTTTAAAATAAGGGCTCTCTTGGGCGCCTGGGTGGCTCAGTTGGTTAAGCGACTGCCTTCGGCTCAGGTCATGATCCTGGAGTCCCTGGATCGAGTCCCGCATCGGGCTCCCTGCTCAGCAGGGAGTCTGCTTCTCCCTCTGACCCTCCCCCCATCTCATGTGCTTTCTCTCTCATTCTCTCTGTCTCTCAAATAAATAAATAAAAAATCTTTAAAAAAAAAATAAGGGCTCTCTTAAGAATAGTCAAAACTGCAATAAATATTAAACGTGAGTGTTAGAGATCTCTGGCAGTGATGGGAAGGAAGCATTCTAAACATCTTCCTCACACATCAGATTCTGGTAAGCCCCCTCCCACTCCCTCCAGGTCAGAAGGGGCTCTCACTAATGGGATTATGTGGTAGATCCTTCAGGTGTACTGGGACAGCAGAAAGGCTAAGAATCACACTCTATTTTTTATCTCCCTCTCTTCACCCAACACATAATTTAAAAGTGCTTTGCTTTCTGATGGAGAGATTTAATTTGGAAGACAATTTGATGTCCCTTACCTCTTTTCAGGTAAATGAGCTCTTGGAAAGCAGCCTGCCGTTGCTTCCGTGTTGTGACATTCAGAGATGAGGAGATGCAGTTCCTGCCCCTGGTTTGCATACAGCCAGAAGGTGCAGACGTAGGTCGGTAGTTGCTGTGTGCCACTCCAAAAGAGGTGAGTGTGTGGCACCGAACTCAGCCTGGGAGAGGGAGGTATTAGGAAGTGCTTCCAGGAAGTGACCTTTGAGCTCTACAGTCATTAGGTGGACAAGAAAGTGTAGGTCCATTCCAGGTGCCTAGGGATCTGGGGCTTGTTTATCAGGTATCTTCTACCTTTCTTCAGAGGTCTGTCCTCAGGCACTTCTCTTGTTTTCCTTCTCTCTCCCTATCTGTTTCCCCCTTCATTGGGTGGGTGTTTGGGATATAAAAGAAGTCAGAGGGTAGGAAACTTTCTGAGCGGCAGAATAAGATGACAGGTTTACCAAGAAGCAGTGTATGGACTCTGGAAATCCATCTCTAAAAACTAAGTTCCTGCTTTGTTAAAATGCATAGCTGGGAAACCTGAGTTTTGTTGATTGAGTGCTTTCCTAGCGAATGGATTATATTCTTGTCTCCAGTCCCTTCTTCTTGAATTTAAGGCATCTCTTAAGCCATCTAAGCCTAGGAATGGGCATGGGGGAGACAGCAAAATGAGAATCCAAGTTCCTACTACAAAAGCATTTTTATTGGCTCTGTGTACATGACTGCATGTTGTTTGAGCTCCATGCTGTGTCGCTGAATTGTCATCATTCAGATCAGGGATAGTTTAATTCCACCAGGATTTGAGTAAGGTGAAAACAGAGCAGAAAAACCTGATACTGTCCAAGTCTGGGAGTATGAAGAAAAAGCAATCCCATCAGTGAATGGGGCTTAATTTTTTCCTGGGGTTGGGGGTAGCAGAAGACAAGCAGGGAAGTAGTAGAACATGATCTATGTGACAAGAAATAGCACCTGTGCCGTAGCTGCTCTAAAATAACTACTGCCTTGGGGCATCATGCCCAGCTCATTGTCATGCGCCTTCTAGGAGACTTGCTGACTGGCTGGAGTCTTCTTCCCAAAGCATTGACTCTGATTTTGCATTTAGATTCCTTAACTATTGATTGTAGTGAAGAAAAATCTCCGAAAACTTCATTAAAACTTTATTAAAACAGTTACCTACAAGTGCTCAATTACCATTCCTTTCGTGTCTTGACACCCTAGAGGACAGTGCTTCAAAAGCTGGACTTGGTCTTCTGGAGTAAGAAAACAGAGTCCTTGAAGTCAAGCCGACTCTGCTGTTAGCCTCCTAAAGGAAAAGGTAGATAGAACAGGTCTTGTTTGCAAAATAAATTCAAGACCTACTTATCTACCAACAGCAAGTACACACTCTGACTTGTCTTACTGTGGAAAATAGGAAGAGTAAATTAAGAGATTAGAAAGGGTGGGAGAAGGTAGTGGACCCACGAAACTCTTACTGTACTAACTGATAGGAGGGTGGCTAGAAATTGGAGAAGTTGTTTAGGAAAGTTTAGGAAGACAGGACCTCCTGTGGTGCAGCCTGCAGGGGGTCCAGCAAGTTTTCTGGGAGCTGAGCCTCCTGGGGCAGAGACCAGCACAGACTCAGTTACAGAACGCCGTGGCAGAGTGACTTGTGACTTGTGCTGCGGGCGGCTACCAATGTGTGAGCCATGTGAGCTTCTGCTTCTGACAAATGCTGGAGGATGGGAAGTAGTGAGGAAAAGGCCTCGGTGCCCATGTAATGGCTCTGCTTCATACTGACCACCAAGCACGTGCTTCTGAAATATTTTATTGAATGTGTATAAGTGATTGCATATCATTGTCTGAACCAGCAGGAAGTCAGTTATTAAACATACACGTTTCCAAATAAAAGGCAATTTAATTTTACCAGAAACCAATGTCATTTTATATCCCAGGTCTTTCACCGACTTTCTAGTCCCATCTCAGGGTGCCTTCACATTGGACTGTTCTGAATTACTAAGCCCATGGTAGTTTACACTCAGATTCTGTGGTTATTTTACATATTTACATACTCCCCTTTGTTGAGGGAAGCCAAAGCTTATGTTCGTAACTTGCTTAAGGGTTACACAGTGAGACAGGTGAAGCTAGGAAAAGAACAGACTGACATGTTCTGTTTTAACTGCACTGAGTCAGGGATTGTGGCTACAATCGTCTGACTTTTTAAAAATCTTTTTCTTTGTTTTGTTTTTTAACAGATTTATCAGCAGGTTGCAGGTGAGCATGGCCTTGAGGTAAATCCTGCCCCTTGCTGAAATGTAGTTTCAGCAGACTATTCATGATATTTTAGGAAGTGGAATATTTTACAGAAAAAAATGTTTTGTTTGGTTCTGTTCTAGACTTATTTTTTCTTCTTGTAGAAGAAATATGTTTAAACAAAAGTTCCTTATGCTGAATAATTGTGATGCTTTAAGCTGGTCTTCTGCTTTAAGTGGATTTTAAATGTCAGTGGTCAATGCCAATTGTAGATGTTTTTTTCTTGGTCAAATAAAAATTTCACTCAAACCTTATAGGTGTCGAGTTTTTATCATTTTATCCATGTTCGTATTGCATGTGAAATATTCCATAAAACCTGTTAGAATCCGGAATTCAGACTTGCCTAATCTGTGATGCCCTACTATCCCACCTGGCAGTTTCTGTCTCAGTAGCTGAACAGTGTCGAATACACGCATGTGTCTATTTTGTCTATAACATGAACCCTGTCTGTGCTCAAACTGGCTGTACCTTCCTGTTGCAGGCCAGTGATCCAGCTTGGCAGAACAGGCATGCGCGCACATGTGTGTGTGTGTAAGGAGCTGGAAGACTGTCAAGGTGAGTTGTTAATTCAGGAATCTGAGCTGCTGTTCATATCAACAGGCAGAGTTTGGAGACAGAGGAGGTGTTCATCGTGTGAGACTTTGAGTGTGCTGGAAAACAAGTTGCGGAGCTTTCACTTCACCCAAAACCTTAGGTGAGGAGATGAGGATCATGTCTGCTTAGAGAGGCATCCACAGGGCAGAATACTAAATTGTCTCTGAGAATTGCTTCGCAGATGGAGTCATTGACTCTGCATCTTGCATCTTAACTTACACGCCGGAAGATGCTGTGTGCAGAGCTTTAAGCGACAACCAGACACCTGGGCTGGAGAACCAAGAATGCAGCCGGTGGGGCCGGGTCCTGTGGTCGCAGGATGGGCAAAGGCATCCAGGCAGGAAGTCCCGGAGTTGCTGGTGAGGAGACCGCTTCGCCCACCAGTGCTCAGCTTGGGTCTTCATGGGCTGGTGTCTTCTTTTCAGAAACTGCGGTGCATTTGCTGCTCTTGCGTTCATCGTTAAATCTCCCAGTCCTATGAAATGGGTACTATTTTTTCTTTGTTTAAGGGAAACAGGAGCTCTTGAAGATAGTGGGACTTTTCTAGGGTTGAAGGCAAAGCAGCTACAGAGTAGTGATCAAGCGTAGGTCTTCTGATTTCAAATCTGATTTTCTTTATGGGACTGTTCTAGGATCAGCTGCCACTAATGTCTGTTTTTTCCCTGCTTACCACCCCCCTCCCCTCGCCGATGCAGTTAAAGTACCACACTGATGTGGAGGCTGCTGTGTGACACGAAGCGTGCAGCAGTGCGGAGGGCTCCATTTCCCCAGTCTTGCCATCAAGCTGCAGGGGCCCTTCTGGGCCTTTATACTGCCTCCCCTCCACGCTGTCTCCATCTCCTGGCCGCGCGTTCTTTGCTGCGCTGTGAAAGAGCCCTGCCATCCCTGACCCCGAGAGCAGGGAGAGCCCAGGAGCAGTGGTGGGGTGAAGAAGATACTAATTTATTCTACATGTGCTGTGTACCACCTGTTCGTTACGTGTTAGCCCTTAGCAGCTGGATGATGAAAAAGACAGACACTGTCCCTGCGTTCACGGAATTAGGCGTGGGAACGGGGTGTCACAGAGTGCTCAGCCGGAGATCCCCTCATCACAGTGCCGATAACCGCTGGGAAAACAGGAGAGGGCAAGGCCCTTGGCTTCCCTGCTTCTCTTTGTGGACGGCCCCTCGCCTTCTCAGGTCTGTCCTGGCTGCTGGCGACACGTCACTTAGCATCCCTTCCTTTCCTGTGCCCCTCAGCCCGAGCTCTGCAGGCCTTGGAGATTCAGATACTTTGCCTATAAACCAATAGACCAGTACAGTCTGACCACTTGAAAGACTTCTGAGTTCACGTTGGCCGAGCCCTCCCGTGACAGCCGGGCCCGGTAATGACTAACCTAACGTCACACGGGCGGCAGTGTGCAGGACTAGACTCCAGGTCCAGTGAAATGAGTGTCAAGCATGCCAGTCGGCCAGAGGTGAACGTGAGCCGGAACTGTGCCGGGTGCATGGTGCCTGAATGCCCAGCCCTGCTGGCTGAGAAGTGAGTGGCTTACAGGAGTGGGTACGGAAGAGAGGAAGCCGGGCATCGGAATGGTCTAATAGAAAGAGACGTGCTTTGGCATTGCAATGCCATTCCGTATCTTCAGACAGCCAGGCTTTTCCAAAGAAAAACAGGGATGCACAAATCCGTGGAGCTGACAGCTGAACGTGTAAAGGTGCTGAGAAATGTCCACGTTGAAAAATGACAATTTTGAATTTTCATAGTCTAATAGAACACCAATCTTCCTTGGGGACACTGTTATTCTTATATCTGGAGTCGTCTCGTTGTGCAGGAACTCATACTTATGCCTGAAAATTAAATGTTGATACAACAAAGCTTCGGAAATTCTGTAGATGGTTTATTTACAGAACATCTCATATTCATTTTATTCAAATACTCCTATGGTGGTGGTATTTTTTTTTTATTAACTACCAAAACAGGCCATTTCCAAAATTATATGTCTCTTTTCTAAAATTTGTCCTAAGAGACATATTTTTAAACTCCATTTGTTTTTGAGCAATCTCTTAACCTAAAAAACTTAAATACAGTAATATAAACTATTGCATCGAAATTTGTGTAGAAATAGATGTTTTAAAACCTTGGATTTTAAGGATCAGACGTATAAAACCTTTGATTACAAAGACATTTGAAACAGGCAGCCTCGTGATGTTTCATGTAATAAAATGGGCCTTTTGGGAGAGTACTGTGCACGAGTACTCAGGCACAATTCTTAAACCTTCAGCCTTAGCAGGGCCACCTGGGAGCCTGTCACCGTTCACTGCAGTGTAAGCCCAGCACCCTCTCGCCATGCTCTGTAGCTTGTGTGCTTTGAAAAATGGCTGGAACCAAAACCAGCCACAGGGACTTCCTCCCCCTGCTACCCAGACATTTGCAGAGCTCAGTGCCCACACGCTGGTCCGCGCACCCGGGAGGAGCACTTGGAATAGTCCCCGAGTGTGGAAGAAAGCCAGCCCGTCTCACCTCGTCTTCCCCTCAGCTCCTTTTCTTAGCTAAGCAGCCCCCAGAAACTTGCCTTCCCTCCACCTTCCTCCCACCACAGCAGAGGAGGCAAGACTAAAGCAAGAAACGTGAGTCAGCTAGGGTACCCAACCCTCGTCCTCCACTCCTAACTCTGTCTCTCGCTCACACATCCTTCCAAGACAGGACTGCACGAGACTGCTCTAGCCCTGGTTCCTGGCTTCTGGCCTGCCTTTTTCATGCTGTCTGTCTGCTGACCTCCCACAGATCCCTACTCCTCCTTCATTCTCCTCTTTCTCTGCCCTTCGTTTCTACCTTTCTAGGAGAGGACGCTGTGATCATTAGTCTGTCTTCAGGCAGAAACCACATAAACTATCTGGCTCAGTGCCCCGTATTTCTTGTATTCCTCAAACTGGGCCTGAGGTATAGTAGAGTCAGTTCTAGTCCAAGTATCTTACAGGGGGAAAGCTGGTCTTCCCACATACGTGTGGGCATGACAGATAGTGTTTAACCGTGACAGAGGCTCCCGAGCAGAGAACACGGGATCGAACATTAATAGGATTCAGCAAGCCAGTGAGGGTCAGAGGCCCCAGAGTACAAGAGGTGCTGGGAAAATGGTGTGAAGTTTCACAATTTTTGAAGTGAAGGGAGGTTGCAACAATGGCTTTCCTAGTCTGACAATGTCCACTGGCCTGGGGGCCTCATGGGATTTTCCCAGCTTTTTAGAACCAGTCCATGCGTAGAGGATAGAGTGCTTAGCAGCAGAAGCAAACCAGAGTGAGCCATAACTGTTAAGCCTCTGCCCACTTACAAAGACGTAATTGGGGCTTCAAACCAAACTGCATCCATTGAATAACACAAGCTGAACACGAAAAACCAATCACTTAGTGGTGAAGAATGCAGTCTTTGGAGCCAGACTGCCTGGATTTGATTCCAAGCTCTAAAAACCCATGTTGGATGGATTATCCAACTGCTGTGAGGCATAGCTTTCTTATTTTTAAAATGGTATAATAGAATTGTGAGGAGTAAGTGGGATAGTTCATCTAAGAGTGTGGAACAGTGCTTGGTGCAGAACAAGCTCTTTGTGAAGTTTAGCTATTTTTATCCCAAAGCTGCTGTTTCTCCTCATCTGGACTTTAGGGAAAAGGGCTAGAAAAGAGCCCTGAAATACCCTAAAATACTTCCTAAGACATACTGTAGGCCTTAATTATTGCTAGCGAAACCTCCTGATCTCTTCTTTCAAAGCAAATTTTAACGCTGGCTGTCTGGATGTTACTTTACCTCGATGATGCAAATCTGTGCCTCATGCACCAAGATAGGCAGTTTGCTCCCAGGTCCTCCTGTTTAGGGACATCTTCAAAGGCCACACCCACCATATAGTCGGCACGCTCGTCCACCTCCACCTCCCAGTAGTGGCGCCCTCGGATTGGAATTAGGTTCCCCATGACGGCAACACACCTGGGTTTAGAAAGAGGGAGCACGTGTGATTTGGGGGTGACGCCAGCCTGGCTGTGACACTGAGTGACACCAGCTGTTGGGGCTGGTCAGCAGGGGGCCGATAAATATGGAGGGAGGGCTTCCGACCGCCTCCCTCATGAAGCGGCAGCCCTCGGCTCACAAAGCCCGCCTGACCGATGCTGAAATCACAAGAGAATTGTTACCCTGCTGGTAGAAAAGGCTCCGTTTGCGTTTTTAAATGATCGGCCTTTTGAGTAACAAAGGTTTGGTTCACTTGTCGATTAAAAAAAAAAAAAAAAAAAGAAAGGGACTGAAACCTCACGGGACTCAGCATCATCGGGAGAACCCTGTGCTCGAGGTTCCGAACCAGCTCGAGGGCCTTCGAGGTGATGCCCACCATGGGGCGGCCCACAAGCAGCAGCCGGGGAGTCGCATCACTGGCGCAGACCCAAGAAGAGCGAAGAGCAAATTCCTCACAGATGATCAGACTCTACCTCCAAGATGCCACCAGGAACAATTACACTTACAAAGGTCAGAGTTAACGTTTTGTTTTACAACAATGCAGCATTCTCCAGAGAAAGGTTCTCGTTGGAAATTGGACCACATCAATATCTCCAAAATGAATATTCTACCTCTGGCAGGAAATTCCTACATTAGCCAAATTCAAGGTGGCTCCCCAAATCCCTAGGCAGATTTGTTTAGCTGTCATTAACACATGATCTCTACTCTCAAACCCCAAGTTCTCATTTATTTATTTATGTGTTTATTTCTTTGTTTAAAGGCAGACGGCCACATGCAGGGCCTCCTTTGGATATGTCTGGAGTCTTGGAAGCTTGACTACATATGTTCTCCTACAAATGGACCTTCAGAGCTTGTTTGGAGGTTCTAGAGGGGAGCGCAGCTACTCCTATACCCTTGACCTAAGAACGGTCCTCCTCTATCCAGGAAGGTCGTCCTCTTGGACCCAGTGTGCAGCTTTAGGAGGGACGTGCATGGAGCGGTGAGGGAGGAAGGGGACCGCTGCCTAGCCAGCCAGATCAGCCACATCAACCCTGGCGATCCATGGGGTGACAGATGTCACAGCCAGATCACCCTCACGTTCTCACACCCCGAGTTCTGAAGGCCACGCAAAGCTTTGGGAAGCAGACTGCACATGAAGTCACTCCTTCTCTGTAAAACGAAGCCATCTCTACTCCAAGCTCCAGACCCACATGCCCACCCACCTGCTGTCTCTCACTCAGAATGTCCCAAACAGAACTTACACCTTCCTACCTCTCCCGCGGACCAAACTGTGTTTTGCTTGGGGTGGGGAGGGGTATTTACCCCTCATTTTCTCTCCATTTCCATTAACAGACTTAACTATCTACCTAATAACCCAAGGCAGCAAACTAAGACAGGAGTAATGTGGTGGTTACAAGCTCAGCTTCCAGTTGAACCCTGACCCGAACCCTTACGAGCAGTGTGCTGGTGGGCAAATTCCTTTACTTCTCTGGTGCCTCAATTTTCTCATTTGTCAAATTGGACTGATGATGGTTTGGCCCTCACAGGCTGTTGTGATGATTCGATGAGATCATCCACGTAAAGCGCTTGGAACGTGTCTGGCACTTGATCAGCACTCCATAGAATTACAGCCCCTGACCCGTCCTGCCCCTGCCCGCCCCTTAACCAGTTGGCCGCTCTCCTCTGGTCTCCTTGTCACCCCCCCGGCCCCCCGACAACACACACACTTCCCTAGCTCACACTTCTTGGCCAGTGTGATCCTTTTGGAATGTAAATCTGACCCTGTCCCTTACCCTACTTAAATTCTCCACAACGGAAGGGTAAGATCCAAACCTGTTTTGCACTAGAATGAGTCCATCTCCTGCCTCATCTCCTGCCTCCTCCCGTTACGGACCCTACACCCCTGATACACACAACTGCTCGTGGTTCTCCAAACAGACGGCTTCTCTGGCTTTTGCTGTTTGTACAGGCCGAAGGCACTCAATCTGCCGTCGGCCTGGAGGATTCCCATTTATCCTTCCAGCCCTTGCCCCTGCGGGAAGCCTTCCTCCTTGGGGCTCCTACAATGCTTGTCCATACTTCTAAAAACTTATTTCATAGGTGTGTCTTTGACATCTGCATCTCCCCGACTTGCCAGTCTGAGTCAGGTGGGGCAGGGACAGTATCTGTGTCTCTTACCCCCAGCACCCAGTATGGTGTTTTCACAGGGCAACAGATAGACTGGTAACGATACTGAAATGGGGACTAACTCAGCTTGGCTGGGCCCCCAAAAGCCACGAACAGAACACTAGATGGGGAGCTCTCCCGTATTTCCAGGTGAGGTGCTAGACCACCTATGCAGGACTCAGTGGCCAAAAACTGTTTTGCAACTTTGAGTGCAACACCAAAGGGCTGTTGGTGGAGATGCTTGAGGCTCTGTCTGCCGGCAGGGAGCTTTCCTGTGGTTCACACAGAGTGAAGGAGCACCGGCCTGGTCAGAGGTGGGTGCGTTCAGGGGACCTGGCGTGAATGGAATCCACTGCATGAAAGCTGTCTTCGTTTTGTTCTTGAGAGGATCCTGTCCAAGAGAACTTCCTGGGAGGGCCCAGGAGACCTCGGCAGACCTCGAGCTGTATAACTGGGTGCTGGGGTTGGTGGGTTGGGAGGGGCCGCCACGGGGAGAGGCCTACCTGGGAACTGCCCGAGAGAGACACATCACACTGGTACCAGCCAGGTACCAAACGGGTTGAAAACAGGACAACAGGCCCAAAATGGAGTCCATCATGCTAAGCCCCATGTCACCAAACCGAAACAACCCAGTTACAGTGACAGTTCTCTCAGATCTGGAATCTTAAACTGGTCAACCAGTCATCGCCTGATGAGCACTAGTGAGGTGACGTGCTTGAGAGACCCCGCTGTC